TTCATGACCCCTTTCATTGCTGCAGTTACTTGTGAAACTTTTTCTACCACACTTTTTTTTTTTGCTTGGATTCAGCATTCTGTGAAAAACCAGCAGCTTCTACAGTAACCTTCTGTGTGTTACCCTCCTACCCTCCTACTGTCTGCTGGACAACTGTCAATTCGTCAAGCCACAAAAAATTTAATATTTCTGGGTTTAAAATTGTCCTTTATTGATCTTACAATATTTGCAACAGCATTTTTGAAGAAACCCAATTTTATTTTTCTTTAGCTTTAAGCCATTAAAATTAACATTTAATTAAATATATTACTCTGTGTGCAATGAATCAAAATATTCTATGATTTTTACTTTATGAATTAAATTACTAAAATAAAATAAATATTCATATTTGTTGAGATGCAGATTATATTTTCATCAAAATTATTAAAAAGTAAATCCCCAAAAAATTAATTAAACACTTTCACGGCCATCTTAAAGCAATATTTTATTTTCACATGTACTCCGAGCAAATCCATCTTTCTTGTCATTTCATTCAAAGAAAGTTTAGGTTTTGAATTAACAGTGAACTCAGCCACTAGGGGGCAGCACACAATTATGACCACACAGCTTGAGACAGTCATTGGCTGACTCTGTGTTGCCATAGATACTCGTCTACATGAAGCAGAGCTCTCAGTCATGAGGCTTAAAGACACAGAGGGCAGTGTTGAGCTTGAGGACGGCAGAAGAATCCCAATTAGCAGCTGAAAAGAGTTTCACACACACTAAGCACACGCACACAGGAAGCACACGTAGATGTGGACGTTTCCCAAAATGAAAGCCACTTCTGTTTAAGCTGTTTCCTTTACATACAGCCATATGAAGGTTTATTTCTCGAGTCATGATGGACAGGCAGCAGCGATGACTTGAAAACAGCTGCTGTGTGGGACTACAGACTGCAGCTGCTGATGTTTGAGGCAGCGACTCACATATGCTGGAGCTCTCTTGCTTTCTAATCACCTTTTTTGTTGTTTAAATCCTGTCAAAATGTCAGTTTTGTCCACCATTATGAAATTCCATCCAATTAAAGCCACAGCTTCAATCACATGGATATGTTTTGTGCATGTTTATGTGGGAGGAAATGTGTAACTGTTTGTGTTCAGAGGTTTGATTGCACTCAGCTCCCTCCAACCCCTCTTCTAAAATGAGAAAAGGATGCATAACTAGATTTAAGGTTATGTAATGCTGACTGGAAGCATGGAGGATGTGTATAATCCACTCCTATTTGGGTTAAATCCATGCCTCTCTCTCTTTCTCTCTCATCATGTATATCTGTAAGAGGACAGCGGCCTCACATCCTCGCACAGCTCCATTCTGCATCATCAAGCCTGAAAAGCACCAATCCCTGCCACATGCAGTATTTCACCAGCTTGCTGCAAATAGTTCTTAGGAATCATCTCACAATGCATTAACATCTATGGTGCATTACAGCCTTCTGATGGAGAAATTTTAGAATTTTTGGTTCATTGTCCATTATAAAGTATTGTTTATGAGGACATAGACGAGTCTTTATCAGCTTTCACATCATTCTTCTTTTGGAATATTATGTTTGAAGATAAACTTTAAAAAAAAATATTGACTAAAAGATCAAACCTAGAAATTGAACGTTGTATTTTTCTATTTTCTGTTGCCATTCTATTGTTCTACTTGCCAATACCAAAAATGTGAAACATGGCTATTCCACTTTAACAAGTGTCTTTTTTTTTTGCTTGCTCATTCAACATAGCATATTGAAATTACCCACCAGTCTCTTATTTACGTTTATTACATGGTTGTGTATCTGCCTTGCTTTTCAGAAACATGGGAAAATATGTCAAAAACATTTCACCATCACTTTTCTTCACGTCTGATACTACAACTTAGCTATTTGACCATCATTTTCAGATAAGATTATCCTAAACTCCTCCGCATAGAGTATCAAGTGATATTGATGGCTGCAGTCTTTTGTAAGATTGCACCTCAGTTCTGACAGTGTCGATCAAAATGCCTTATTAAGTAGGCTGCAAAATCTAATTAGGATATCTAGGTCATCTTTTCAATGCTGTATGTCTTACCTTTCAAACAAAGCCTTCAGTGTTCATGCCAACCCGATCATGTCAGATTCTATCAGCCTGTCAAGTGAAGTCCCTCAGGGTTCTGTGTCAGGACTAAGCTAGAAGTTTACATATAAAACCCTCTTTGTTGACTTCAGACCACTGTTGTCTATTTAGATGACCACATTTTTCCAATTCTTTAACTTCTTTCCCAATAATACTATATATTTTATGTCTTTCTCTTTCTATGCCTTTACAAGCCGTAATCTTCCTTTTTTACATTGGTTTTGAAGTAATGTTTTCTTCCTCTCTGGGTCGGTTCTCTTTTCATGTTGGAACAGTACTTATTTTGCTGTGGGTAATGGCACTGTAGCCAGTAGTGTCTTCACAAGACATTGTGCTCATTCTGCTTCTCATTCACATATTTCACATCAAAATACTTTAATCCCCAAGACACAAAATCCACCATCTCCCTAAGCGGTATAAAAGCTGGAGATTCACAAGGTTCATACAATGGCACATAATTCTTTGAACAGCTGAACTGGCACTTTTAGCCATCAAGTATTCCTCTTGGGAAGATCAATAGAAACTATCATATATATCAGGAACAGGATCGTCACAGATGGACATAGAAAACAGATGATCATATTGCTATGAATTTCTTTGGTTCTGACTGTGTCATATAAGATTCTGGTGGAGTTTTTGTAAAGTGTAGTTATAATAACTACAAATTAAAACTAATCTTCAGGCATATCTAAGAGCAATTAAAATGGATCAGATTTTACATAAGCCTTTGTCTTCACAACCAAAAAAAAAAAAAGCAAAGTCGCAACACAGTGGGGTGATTGTATTACGTGATCCCCACAGTCCTAATCGACATACGTATTGAATATTTGATGACTTTCTCATTGATGGAGCATGACACCTGGGCGGCCCAGTCAATGCTTACTCTACGTGCTTGCAGGAGGGGGGTCGTTCCCGACAAGGGTCTTTATCTCTGGGAAATTGTCTGAGCCAGCAAATCTGTCAAGAAGATGAGTACAAATGCTAACATATTAGTCACATATTTTATCCTTACTTGTGTGTGGGTGTAATCAAAAGGAAGTATCAGAGAATGCATTTATAGAAACATAACAGAAATGTTTATGTTAATTAAGTGTGTGACTGTGTGTGTCTTTGCAGTAAAGAGTGAAAGGGAACGAAAGGGAGTGCTGTTGTATCTGTTTTTTCCTTTATTTGACTTCTGCTTGCCTAGCAGGGACCGTAATCATGGTCGTCAGCACTGGCTGGTTGCTAGGTAACAATTACCTGACTGTGCTTTGCTTGCACTGAATTACACACAGTGGGCTGTATGGGTGTGTGTGTGTGTGTGTGTGTGTGTGTGTGTTAGAGAGTGTGTTTAGGAATAGAAAAATGTAGCAATGTAGAATACCAAGCAGTGTCTCGACATCTGGGAAGAAATATTTCAAAGCAGGAGGAGATTTGAGTTTGACAATAATATCCTTGAGCTAAATCTCTTCCAAAATTGTATTATTGTTTACACTCTGGTGGCCAGCACTATATAATCTGCTATATTCTATATTGGTGTTTTTTTTTCTTCCTGGATATTTCTGTCATGTAAAAGTTTGAGACTTCAAGGTGGCCGAGGATACTAGTAACAAGCTGGTGCCCTGGCTAACTAGCTAGCGTTTCTTACATTTATCACCAGTTAACTGAATGACTTTTGTCTTCATTACTGGTTCACTTCTGTTGCCAACCCATACCAGGTTAAGTGCTTTCTGTGCTACAGAGCATTGCTGCATCCTGCTCTATGAGTGCATATTTTTTCTTAGTTGTTTACAAAAATTTACTGTGTTCATCTTAGTGAAGGAAGCAAGAAAGTAAGTATGTAAAATCAAAATCTGTCCAATAAATAGATTTGGGGAGATATACAATATTATAAATACAGAGCACAATTTTCAGACTTATTTGTATGGAAATGTCATTGTCCCCCATAATTTTGTGCTACTTTGTAGCACAAAATTATATGAAATACCATTGAAATACCACTTGAAATAGATTCAAGGTTGTAATGCAGAAAAATTTATAAACAGAAGCACAGATTCTTCTGTTATGCAATTTTTCTTTTGATAAGAGAACTTCAGAAAATGGAAAATCATCACTAACCTTCCAATGAGGAAGCTGAGCAGACTGTTATCCTGAAGCACAGAAACCAGGGGAAACTCTTCTGCTGGGATCCGAGGCCGACAAGGGGACATGGCACCTCCCCCAAAAACTGTCTGCCAGCTCTGGCAGACCTGGTGATATATTTGGAGATCATTAAATGGTCCTAAATGAGACCCTGGCGTGAGAGCGAGCTCTGGCCATCTGGCCCCATTGTGAGCACCAGAGCTCTGTTCAAACTCAGTCAGCAGCAAACACACATATGATTGGATACATTCTGGGTGTGCTGTGCAATTTCATCCAATCAGAGTAACCTTTAGTGAGTTGCTGCAACCTGTTCCAGTGAGTGAACCATCCTGTTGGATACTGCGTGTCTTATTGATGTGAAGCTTGTTATTGTTTCTTTTGATATTTTTTTGTATTTATTTATTTTTTATCTGGGATCTTAGTAATGACACATATTCAGAATTTTTGTTTGTTCTGCTCTGTTTTCCTAAAGTCATAAATCTTTATGACTTTAATCTTAATGTTTAATATTGTAAGAATTACAGCATACATGGTACAGACTTAAAAAAAAAAAGTTTAATTATTTGCACTTGTGCAAAACGTTCAAAGAACAGGGAATTGCTTACAGACACTCGCAGTTAAAAAAATCTAACTGTATAATTACAGTCCATTGCTGTAAACGTTTGGCAAAATAAAATTACCTTCTTAATTAAAGTTGTTTTATTTGTAACTTCAGTTGTTTTTTATGATTCCCTTTTCCAGGTCATAAGCTCAACAAGGATCTGAAGCACTTCTTGAGCTTGAGGTTTCAGAAAACGTCACCTGACCATGAGTTGCAGAAGACTATCCGTGCCAATTTGTACCGCCATGCTGTGCCTTGTGAGTAAAATACCTAACATCATGCTTAAACAAGAACATCTAAGTGGAGAAGAAAAATCACTTAGCATTACATGATCATAATTTTCACATTATTATGCTTCTTTGGCTTCTTTCCTATTTGTTTTATCTCCATCTTTCAAATATAATTCTTTAATTTTGTAGTGAAAAATCATCTTGTTCTGATTCATTTTGCTTTCATCACTTAAAAATAATCTTTAGTACTTTAAAATAAAAACATTCTAAGCACTGTCTGAAAGTTTTGTTAATACAGCCCATAAAAACATTGTCCTGTTGACAGAGCTGGAGCAGTTCCTTAAGTTGAGTGATTAAATACATAAAGAGTTGCTTTAAGCCAAATATTTAGAAACCAGCCACACTCCCCAGCTGCCTAATACTTGGATCTGGATTAAAAGTTCAGTAATTCTCAGTGTTTTTCTAGAGTACTTCTAAGTGTTTTGCTAGCTAAGTTGAAGCTAAATCCTCATTCACCTTAAAATGGAGTTTAACTCTGAATGAACTGACATTGATGCCGATAGTTTACAAATGAAAATAAAAACCGAATGAAACATAGGCATCTTTGTAAAAGCACTTGCACTGAAAAATAAAGATTTCAGTAGTAATAAGAGCACCAATATTGGAAAAAAGCACTCCCAGAAAGCAAACATTAAAAGATTAATATCCTCCAGCTTAGGAAGTATTTATGGCCCAGCCTAGTGAATTTAATAAAACCACTGGCATGCCAACAACACTGACTGCTATGATTTAACATCAAACTCTTATAAAGCCATATAAAGCGTTTTACCCCTTAAGAGTTAGCAGTCAGGATTACTGGTGTGATACAACAAGTAACCTGGATTCTATCTGCTGGGGTGCGAGGTGAGTGACTATTATTATAAGCTAATTTTTGGGCTATTCTATACCAAGTTGATTTTTGTCAGCACAATGAAATGACTAACCTAGAAAGAAGGTCTGTTTTAGGGCAGAAGTAGACAGAGGTTGGATAAAATACATTTTCATGCAAATTTTTGGCAATATATTGCTTCCAAACAGCTAAATAGCTTTAGGAGCTCTGGAGAAGAATTAGGCTACAATAACCATTGATTTTCTTTTTTTTAGTCTAGATTTTCCATGTAGACATTAAAAAATCAAAATGGCTGTATTTTTGTGAAAAACAAAAATACAAAAATAAAAAACAAAAATAAATTCATCATTTATTTCTTAGAGGTAGAGAACATCGTTGCACTAAATATTGATTGAAATTGCTAGTCACATTTTTGTAATATACAAAAATTTTTGTAATATACAAAAATGTTTGGACTCTGACAGTACTACATATTTAAAAATGTTCTAAGGTCAAATTGACCCAGGATCGTTGCTGCTTCCCCTCAGAAATGAACATGCTAGGAGTGTTAAGGATCATCTGAATTTCTTTGGACCTTTGATGTTGCCATAGTTGTATTAATTAGTAAACATAGTAATCAAATGTCTTGATGCTCTAACCAATCAAGTTGTTATGATCTAACCAAGCAAATGAAGTGATCAACTCAGTTCTCTTCTCTATGTAAAATAGGATTTGTTTACTGTTTTGCATGTATCTGGTTTGGACTGCACCTTAGGAAAATATAGTTTGCAAATGGATGCTGTTTTATTCTCTTTTTTGCTCTTGGTCAAGGCTTTTTCACTCTCAGTGTCTGTGCTTCATTTGCACTCACCCATGTGACTGTTAAATCCGCCTCTGTGAGCCTCCCTCGGTGCCCTGCCTCGGATTATAATGTTCTGATATATTGAAAATAGATTCCTGCCTGATTATGTGATAAACAACTCCAGCTCTTGCAAAGGTTACAATTTTCTACATGCGGAGGACAAACTATGGAGTCAACAGCACATAGTCTTGAATCATTTTGAAGACATTTTGGAGGACATTTGGAGGCAATCCCTGCTGCTCATTAAGGTTGTAGAAATCTAACAGAATAAACATTTAATAATCAACCTGATGGTTGTCACTTATTAAAGATCCATGTTTAAAGCTTCTTTGTTTCTAAATGAACTGTGACATCTGAGCGGACACTGTATATGTAAACATACTGTAAATAGTTAGACAGGACTTCATTATGTGGTGTGCTCATGAAAAAGGTTGATGTTTTATTCTACCTCTTAGGATTTTTGTTATCCGTAGTCTGAACAACAACTAGGTTCTTATAAAGAATGTCAAAGGGCCTTTCAAAAAGAAATAGTTAATATCAAACTTCACCCCAAAATTGTAAAGGAATCCAAACTGAAAAATAAAAAAATGCACACACATTGTATTTGTCATCCCAAAATTGTACGAAATTGTAGGGATGGCAAATAATGTTCCTTTTTCCTTCAAATATGGCGCTAAAAGTCAGTGAGTTTTTGTTTTACGAAACTCGCATCAATAAGCTGTCTAAAAAGGTCATTTAGGGTTTTGTCTTTATGTTTCTGTGCAAATTTTGACATTTTTGTTCAATTCTATTAGTTAGTTTCCATAAAAACATCTCACTATTGGGTCTTCGGTCAAATGTTTCTTAAGCAGTTGGATTTTTCTCTTGGTTGCAGCAGTATGGCTTGGTAAACCTTTGTCACTTTGGTGATAAAAGCACCAGCAAGTTCATATTTTGATTACAAGTAAAAATCAAGCCAAAAAGATTTTGGCTGAGTTAGAGACTCAAGTAAAACCTGACTGAGATGTTGTGGTATTGCCTACAAATGGTAGTTTATGGCCACTTTGATTGTGGTTAAATAAAAACAGTTCTGCAAATATTTTTTCTGGCTGTTTCTTGAGGTTTAAGATGTTGGGTCAGCTGAAAACATCAAATTTGTAAAAGCACTTGCACTGAAAAATGAAGATTTCAGTACTAATAAGAGCACCAATATTGGAAAAGAGCAGTGACAGGTTATGTATAAAGTTTGTTCTTCCAGGACAGTTCATTAGAAGCTCACTTGTCCACATCTGAAACAGGGCATACTCTATATAAAAAGTTTTGAATTGATTTGCTAAAATAAACTTTTCATTGACATTCTAAGTTATTGAAAAACATTCAAGTAAAATTGTGAATTTTTTTTATTGAAAAAGGGCTGATCCTATTTTTTTCTATATATAAACTATACTGAGTTATCTTAACTTATAATGACTAATGGAGTTTATCTTTGTTCTTGTGCTTTAACTTGACCTCAATCTTTTTTTTTTTTTTTTTTACAAAATCCGTTTTCCATTCCACCCTATTTCCTTTCTTCGTGACCTACAATCACTATTGTTGTCGTCTTTTTTTCTTTTCTTCAAACACACAGACACATGCAAATTTGTTCTTAGCATGACAAGGCAGAATGATAAAAGTAGTCAAATAAAAGCCACACGTCTCTGGCCTGTGTTTTCTTTGTCTCCGTCTCTTTGTGTCTCCTCCCCCTCTCCTGAGTGCATCTGTTGTTCTCTCTTGCAGTGCTTGACTCAAACAGGTGCTTTTCCCTGCACCATCAGCTGATATACTTTTTTTTTTTTTGTCATTTTGCCTAAGCATGTCCATGAATGTAGTGTTTATATGAAGGACATCCTAGTAGAGCACTCACCCTCCTCTCCTTTTCTTTGGCTTGTTGCTACAGATGGCCATTGTTATCATGTGCAGCAAATGTCACAAATGATAGGGAAGTCTCTCTCTCTTTCTCTCTCGGGATTCATTTCCTTCTCACATCCACAGCTGCTGCTTGTAGATGAGGGTTATCTCTGCGTTATCCCAGGTTTTGAACCACAGAGTGAACCAGTCCTCCCTCCCCCCACCTGATCCCTCCCTCTGTCGCTCTCCTCTCTTCTTCACTTCAAATCCTCCAAGCGAGTGTCAGCGTCCCTGTGGCTCGGCGGTGGCGGCTGCCTTTCTCCGTCTCTCTCTGTCACACTTTCGCTGCTCCCGCTGTCTCCCTGCCTCTGCTGTTCTTACTCTTCATCACCAGCCCTCTCTCTCTCTCTCTCTCTCACTTTTTCTTATCCTCCCCTTCTTGCTGTTTTCCACTCCATTGCCGATCTTGGGGAAATCATTGTGGGAGACAAATTTCTGTTTGCTGCTCACACAAAGTAAGGGATTACTGGTTGATTTTTTTTTTTCGGCTCCAGGCTCTTTTCAGCATCCAGGCAAGTGGCAGCTCCTTATTGTATTCTTCTCTCTCTCTCTCTTTCTTCTTTCTGATGCCCTCACCATCATCCACCATCAGACTGTGGTGTATGCATTGGCAAAGAGTGTTTGCGTGTGTGTGGTTGATGCTGTGTATATAGGCTTGGGAATCAGGGATAGTGGGAGTAGGGGTGGGAATTATGTGAGGGGGGCATGTACGCTCGGAGCAGGCACGTCCAACCCAGAGGGACAGATGGCCAATAGCCCTGGTGCTTTTTCCTTTTTGCTTTTCTGATTCACCCTGCAGGCTTTGTATAAGCTTCACTGATACACAGACATTGATTTTAAGAAGCAAGACATGGCCGCTCTCCTTAGATGGAAGAAGGGCTAGAAAGCAGAGGCAGGGAAGGTTTTAAGATTGGAGAGAAGAAGGGAAGACATGAGAGGGGGGGGTCATCAGCCTTGAATGCAGGGAGGTCAGGTCCAGATGCTGCCCAAACAAAAGGGCTTCTCTGAGGGGGAAGCGTGGCACTCGCCATTGTGTGTCGCTGCATTGCAGGGTGCTGCTGAGGAGCCTCATGCTAATGATGGCCATTCATTCTGGTAACGGATGAGTGGGCCCCAGCTTCTGTTCCCCTGCTTTTCAAACATGCACAGTTCATATTTTTGCTCATGTGACTAAATAACACACAGTTTGCTCTGTCAACAGTGAAAAAAAAAAAAAAAAAACAGAAGCATTTTGGCTTGCAGAGTAGGCTGGGCAAGCAGTGTTTTACATAGCAATGGTGTATGAAGACAGGTGCAGACTTTCTCTGTATGTGTTTACGTGTGTGTGTCTGAGGCTGTTTTATGAATATGGTGATTGTCTCGCAATGTCTA